CTCCACCCTCGGCAGGTTTCGAAACCAACGTATATAGTGCGGAAAGAAACGTGTTAGTCAAAAGTTAGTTTCCCTTTGAAAAGAAAGCTTTTTTGCCTCCAGAATTTGTCAAACCCTAAACCCTAAATCCGGGCAGGTAGATTGGTAACTAGCATGGATGAATAGCAATGATACGTTACCCTTATGTAGATGGAAAGTTGATAATACGGTTTCTTTATTGTGGTATTGAATTATTGAACGCGAGCTCAGTGATCATAATATAGACATTTACCAATGACAAGGTTTCTTTATTGCGTTAGCTTCATGCACCTTACCCTTTTATGGATATGGAGTGGATACTATTGTTTTCTTCTTATGGTGAAGTGGCTTAAGTTCCTGAGCAGCATCCCAGGTATAGCCGCTGTGCGGGGAGCTTGCCCAAGGCAGAGCGCGCAGCGCTCGTGGAGGCAGCCAAGGAGGGTGGTGTAGCATCGCTCACAGACCTGTGGGCTGCTCTGGGAATGCAGCGAGGCGATGAGGAGGCAGCTTTGCAGCACATGGAGGTCTTCCTGAACTACGTGCAGGCAAACCTGGCATCTTGGAAAGCAGCCGCACCGCCTCCAGGGAGCTCCGAAGGCCCAGCCCTGCCTCCGGCAGCTTTGGAGCAGCTGGCGCTCATTGGTGCGCAGAGCGCAGGACCTACGCAGCAGCCAAGGCCAGCATCCAGGCGCGAGCGTGAGATGGCCGCGGCGCGGAAGCTTGCAGCTGAAAAGGCTCAGCACCAGGGATTCCCATCTTTGCCCCCCTCGCGGCGCCTGGATGGCACGCTGTGCCTGGATCGCCTTGGAAATTCTATGCTTGATTCAGGCTGAGCTGTAGGAATCCAAAGACATGTAGTACTGCCAAGATTCAAAGACAAGTGAAGGTGCTACTACTGCCAAAGGCGGTTTGAAAGCCGGATGGCGCTCTTTCACCACCTCCGCCGCATGATTGACAAGGAGCGCTTCGTCGAGGGCCACCACCAGGCACGACCCCTGCTTTTTGAGGGATCTTGCGGGTTTTAGGCAGCATTTGAAACAAAGCGTTGTTGAACAGAGCTACCTCAACTAAATGAGGCTTTCCCAAAATTAGGGATACCTTTTTTGGGGGTCCCCATAATAAGGACCACAGTATTTTGGGGTCCATATCGGGGTTCCCTTATTTTGGGAAATTACCAAATGGGTGGTTGTCAAAATTATAGTCCTTTTTTGGGTACCCTAAATATTGGTGCAGTATTAGAATAGGGATCCAAAATTTTTGGGACCATAGTTTTGACAACCACCCAGATAGAGGGCTGCTTCGCGAGGAGCATTTCAAGCTTTCGATACCGGGTGGCCCAGCTTCACTGCCCGAGTCGGGTGTGCACAGATGCCGAGCCGAGACATGTGGAAAGACCTTTGCCACCAAGAAGCTCGGCCCGCTTATCTTGGCTTCAAAAGGGGAGTTGTAGCAGTAGGGATTATGGGGGATGGCATTGGTTTACCGGGGGATTATTCAGGATCATATAGGGATTAGAGGAAGATGTAGGGCTAGGGTTTCGGGATTAGGAATGGTGAGTCACATGGCAAGTGAAATGGAATATAATGGAATCTTTTTTCTGGCCCGCAAGTCATCTGGGCTTTCATGTTGGCGTCAGTAATCATTTGTAGATAGAATGGTACTCTCCACAACGGTCTCGGGGAACCGTGGTCTTATTATAAGGATCCCTAAGCCTTCACGCCTAAACCCT